CTTGACACGTGTTAACCCTGTTCTCTCCTTGTCGTTCGCAGGACGCGGGTCTGATGCGACCACCAGCAGCCGCCAGCCGCAGGTGCCGGCACCGCACCTGTCGGCTCTGGTCGCGGGCAGCGGCGCCACTGGAGCACGGCTGGAGCCGCCGGAGCAGCGGAGGCGGCGCCTGGGACCCTCACACGGCTGATGAGCTTTTCCTCCAACTTGAGGCGAAACTTTCCCGCGTCTCGCATCAGCGCCCCCGGCTGCCGCCAGGGCTCCGCCAGGGCTGGGTCCCGCGGTCACTGGTCCCGGGACTTGCAGCCCTCGTGAGGCGGCGAGAGCTTACGAACATGGAAGTGATGGGCCTATCCCGATGAGATTTACAAGCTCGCGAGTATGTGAGTGTGTGTTTAGGTGCGTGTGCGTGTGTGTTTGTGTGTCTGTGTTATTGAATGTGTAAAAGTGGGAGGGTGTAATCATTTTGTTACTTAAACGGTATTTTTCTTCCTTTCTATCATGAGTCCGAGAGACACAGGGATGCCGTACTTCAAAACGTAGTTTTGGGAAGAAAACGTCTCCACACATACCTGAGAGGATATTCAAATGTTACTTCTTTCATAAATCATACTTGAAGTTATGGGTGTTTAGGTGCAATTGCCTTTTCGTCCCGCTACGATATTAATGTATCAACTAACATAATTTTTCATCTCATAATTAAATTTTTCCTGGACTATGCATGCTAAGATAATAAATGTAATCTGGCGTTTTACATCTTTTTGCGCTGTCCTTATGAATGGCACAACGTTTCCCTTTCAAGAAAAAAGTAACGATATTTTATAATAAACAAAGTTCACTTTTATCGGAATTTTTACTGTACATATGTTGTGTGCACAAGTTTTGTATGTCTATTCCTCCTCTACTGGTCATAAACCTAAGTCTAATAATTGAGGTATGATGTATGTTTACATAACAGACTTCTCCGGTCTCGGTCAATCATAAATGCAAAACTAACAAATTGGTTCTTCATATTGGCATTGATGTCGGCGGGCTCTGTAGGGCTTTTTCCACGCTCATGATGAAATTATTTTATTACTGACACAAATGACAAGTAAATTCCCTTTCTATTTCAAGGTCATTGTCTTGGTACAATGCTCAGTTCTTCAATCCACAATTCTATTTCTTGTTTCAAGAATCAGCTGTTTGGGTGTAGATGCCGCGCCACGTGGCTCTTCACGCCTCACATTAACATATTTATTGCAGCGGCTGGCTGGGTGGGTGGGGCAGTTGGCAGACGAGGTAACGCCTACCAACTCAGTGCAGCTTTGCATTTTCACTGATCAGATTTAGTTTTGAATACGTATTTCCCCTCATTCCGGTTCTGCGTTACCTTCTTAGGCTTCTTCAACTCTATCAGCATAGATAAGGCTAATCGCTTGTGCTGATGGCTGTGTTTAAGAGAATCGTTCTACACGGTTCGATAGAGGTCAGCAGAGTATTGTATCATCAACAGGATCGATAAGAAATTACTAGTTTCTATCGCTCGCGGATCGTAAGATATTTTTTCATTAGCTTGAAAGTCATTAAGGCCGTTAATCACTTTGGCCAGTCCAACCCTTTTATTTTTGTAATATACTTTGTGTGTGAGAAGAGCTAATCGAACATCGGTGTAACCCTCATTGCTGGACAAAGTGCCATACGCCTTTCGCTATTGTCTCGCTCCTCGCTGCAAACGGGCGCCAAGTTCCCATCTCTAGTCATCGAGATATTGTTTTTAAGGTATGGCAAAAAAATGTGACAAGTTCAACAAACTTCAAGGTTGTGTACACTGAATCCTTTTGCACTTTATTGTGCATAATTTCATACAGCCATAATATGCACAATTTTATGCATAACTTTGTACAGTGTGTCCATCGTTGTGCATAATTATGCACAATTTGTACACAATTATGCATAAAAATTTGTGCATACTTATGGCTGTATAAAATTCTGCAAGGTTATGCACAACAAAATGCATAAGGGTTTAGTTTTAACTAGACGGTGGCCTAAAACTCCGTGTTTCGCGTACCTCCATTTGTTAGCGGACTAACTAATAAAGTGCAGAGCGAAACGAGACGCCGGCGGAAGTCAATCAACCTGCTCGACCGACACGCACAGCTTGAAATTTACCGAAAGGAACGGAACTCCCAGGGTGAAGGGAAAAGACGGATTGAGGGAGAGGGGGGGATACATCCGTTAAACAAAGCCAACCACAGGACGCTGGGCCCTTTGTAGAACGTGGGTCGGCGCGGGCGGGTAGGGGGGTTGCGGGCACCTTATG